AACTGAGGGTAATAAAACCTTATTAAGGTGCTTCTCATTTGGCATGTGTGTTTTTTTTTGTTTTTTTTTAAACTTAATTTTCCTAAATTCCTAAAGAAAAACTATATAGGTTTCATGGTTACATACAATAGTTTAGAACTATCTTTTGAATGAGGTAACAACAGCCGAAAAATCACTGAAATTGTTTAACCTTATATTAGAAATATATCTATTCTTATTATAATTTGGGATATTTTATATATAATATATATCAAAAAGGGGTAAAAAAATTAAAGAAATAGATAAAATTTTCTTCTGATTAGTGGTATAGTATAAAGTAATAACCTCCTGCTTGGGGCAAACTCATTAAAAAGATCACACCTGATCAGAGAGTATTAATTTCTAATTAACATTCATTGAAAATTGCAACATCCTGTAAAACTTAAATCGCAAGGCCTTTTGAATTCACTAGATAAGTAATACACGAGAAAAAAAGGGCTAAAAGTTCTTTTATCCTGTAAAACACACATGTACTGAGGAAAATAAACCTTATTAAAGTGCTTCTTGTATGCCATATCTTTAATTTTGACAAAAGTTATTTAAATTTAATTGAAATAAATTTTTTCTGCAACTTTGGAACACATTTCCTTTTTTAAATGGTTATCAACGATTGCTATGGAAGTTCTATTATCATGATTATATTAAATTCTTGGTTTTACAAAACAAAGTGTGATTTTTTAAATTTATTAAGTTGCTTTATCATGTTTATATACTATTTTAGATATATTTTAATAAAAAAAATGTTCACTGCATTATAAACTAAACTCAACTGACACCATAAATCTATACAAGGCTTAAGTAAATGGTGAAAATTGTCCAGTAACCATAAAATATATGAAACATTCAGGAAAATGAACATTGAAAATATTAGTCATAATTCAGTTTTGAGATTATTTGATCAGCTTGTTTTATTTTTATTTTAAAGGTGATATATATATGTAAGTGTTGATAAATATGGTGTTGAATTTATATTATGTTTATTGTGAAATTTTGGTTTCAATGCCATATTGAATACATTTTAAATTTCAAATTGTTGTTCAAATTTCTAGCCAGGGGAAATAGCTGTTAAAAACAGTTCCTAAATTGATGAAACACAATAGATAGATACAAATATTAGGTCTAGGTTGGTTAAGACTTAGTCGAGTATGGTTCAGACTAGGTCGAGTATGGTTCAGACTAGGTCGAGTATGGTTCAAACTAGGTCCGGTATGGTTCAGACCAGGTCGAGCATGGTTCAGACTAGGTCGAGCATGGTTCAGACGAAAATAAAATGGTCGAGTAAAGGTCGAGTACAAGTTCAGACTGTTAAGTATGGTTCAGACTACAGTCGAGTATTATCAAGTAAATTTCAGACCAATTCAGACTGGTCGAGTAAAAATCAGTACAGTCAAGTACAAATATAGGCCATTTCAGACTTTTACTGGTTTGTAGTGATCACATACTTCTGGACTGTTTGGGTACTGATGAGGCTGTAGTGCTGCCTTGTAGTCAATAAGTTTAATTGACCTACATGATCTGATTGAAAGGTTGGAGAAATAAAGTCCACACAGATACAGAAACTGATATAGGCTTAATATTGATTCACTTATAGGGTCTTTGCATCGGCACTAAACACATTTATTTAAAAACCAGTTGTTGGCATGACATGGGTTATGTTCTTCTCATATATGTTATGATGGTATGATACTAAACCCCTAACGGGAAGGATTGTGCCTGATATTCATATGATGAAGACACAATCTTTCAATCAGTTTAATTGAAGTCTGGACCTGGCATGTCAGTTAACTGCTAGTAGTCTGTTGTTATTTATGTATTATTGTCATTTTGTTTATTTTCTTTGGTTACATCTTCTGACATCAGACTCAGACTTCTCTTGAACTGAATTTTAATGTGCGTATTGTTATGCGTTTACTTTTCTACATTGGCTAGAGGTATAGGGGGAGGGTTGAGATCTCATAAACATGTTTAACCCCGCCGCATTTTTGCGCCTGTCCCAAGTCAGGAGCCTCTAGCCTTTGTTAGTCTTGTATTATTTTTAATTTTAGTTTCTTGTGTACAATTTGGAGTTTAGTATGGCGTTCATTATCACTGAACTAGTATATTTTGTTTAGGGGCCAGCTGAAGGACGCCTCCGGGTGCGGGAATTTCTCGCTGCATTGAAGACCTGTTGGTGACCTTCTGCTGTTGTCTGTTCTATGGTCGGGTTGTTGTCTCTTTGACACATTCCCCATTTCCATTCTCAATTTTATTAGGTCCATGTTGAAATGCAGAGGGTCTAGTATAAAAAATATTGAAATATCTGCCATGTGTGTTGTAATCCTGTTTGAAACATATGAAACATTCTGAACTTGATAAATGTGAGAACTAGTTGCTGAATGTGCTTTAAACCACAGATGAAGGATGAAATAGTGTTTAAGATATCAAGTTGGTGATACTATGATAAGAATACTGGCAATGTTCATCTTCCGTATATATTATGGTACGACTGACTCATTGCTTCAGTTGATTAAATGTAAAGTTTAATAATCAAGTGTGGAAATTGTTTGTCCCATTGACATATAAGTCAAGCTGTTGCCACATCTAAGGTAAAATGAAGAACTTGATCATGTTGATTGTGTCTAATTTCTTTTGTTGTAAATCTGATGAATTAACCAAAGTGCATATACAGGAGGTGCAATATCTCCATTTCCTCAGTGTTTAAATATGCAATAAAAGAAATGAAGAAAGGTGTCAGTAATAGATAAAGGCAACAGTATAGTATACCACTGTTCGAAAACTCATAAATCGATAGAGATTAAAACAAATCCGGGTTACAAACTAAAACTGAGAGAAACGCATCAAATATAAGAGGAGAACAATGACACAACAAAAACACAACATTAAAATGTAACACACACAGAAACGAACTATAATATAACAATGGCCATTTTCCTGACTTAATTTGGTACAGGACATTTTAAGAAAAAAAATGGTGGGTTGAACGTGGTTTTGTGGCATGCCAAACCTCCCGCTTTTATGTTAATTCTATAAATGTAAACTGTATAACAAGAAAAATAACTGTTTAACTCATTTAGAATCATTCAAAATCTGAATAAAATTATACTAAAAGTCAACAAGTGTCAACTTGAGTCATTCCTCAACTTTCTAAATCAGTAATGTATAATGAGATGCAAAAATATTTGTATTGAAAGATCTCTATATGATTAGTAAATAAACTATTATATGTGATTGTCAGAATTATTAGTGTCTCTCAAACATGAAAAAAAAAATATCATAAGAACATAATAAATTGTAATAATAAAATAACTTTGCTCATCATGGTCAGGTCAAAGTGGGCCAGGTTTTAAATTTGAAAAAAAAAAATCTTTATCTTATCTATCTTTAGATCATGAAACTACTTTAATAATTATTTTTGAAGAATACATGAACATGATGAAAAGTAGGGTATGTTATAAGGACAGCAAACAAAAATAATATAAAAGAAGACAAATAAAAATAAAAATAAAACAAAACTAATCCAATAAATAAATAAAAAAAAAATTAATCAGGATAGACCTTAATATTTCAAGTGGCTGTTTTATGAATATGCATGTTAAGATATGTAAATTAACAAAAGTGATTTATAAACCAGTTAAATCTAGTCTCTACAGTTGCCTTCCGATTATAATTTGCAAAGAAAACTCCAAGCACAATAACAGTAACATCTGTATATAAGAAATAAAAGTTCAAACAATATACTTGCCTAGAACAGTTGTATAGAATGTAAGGCCAGATCAATAACACTCATGGAAATCTTTGTATGGTCACAAATTATATAAGGATCTGATGATGTTAGATTCTGCTCGATCACATAATACTCTCGAACACAGTTAACATGGTTATAAACTCCGCATGTAAAGCTCTACACAAGTTTGCAAACATTGAAAACTCAGCTGTGTATAAGTTAATAAGATCCAAAAGTGAAATAAACAAGTTCATGTTGCAAGAAGTAAATATCTAAAATTCAGTATATGGTAGCAGTTCAAATACAATGCAGCCGCAATGTGACATAAAAATGGTAAAAGTTAAAAAAGATTAAGTCCAGTTGAAACAATAACATGAATAATAAATTAAATAATAGCACTGTAAAACTATATCAACTAGTCAAGACTGCTATGAACAAAGAAACTGATTATACAAAGACCATGCATGGGAGGAGTCTGGCCTCATGCACTGACCTTTAGATGATATACTAATTGTTGTGTAATTAATTTTTATAAGATCTGGTATCATAATTAACCCGAATAATTCAGTTGTTATATTCCACTGCTCTACGATGGCTACATTAAAGCCTGAAGGCCTAGTCAATGAAAAATCATCAAAAAATCATTCCAAATTAGCTTGGGATTTACCTATCTCGATAACATTTAGCTATTAGCTGATTGGCTCTCTCTCTCACAGAGAGCACCAATCAAAATCCAGGATTAGTGATGCGTTTTTATTGTATAAAGAGTTCAGGCCCTCCCGAGTGGGAGAGTCGATCACGGGGAGGGACTGAATTATTCAGGTTAGTATCATAATCTGCATTTCCTCACCAACAGTGATTATTTATGACATGTATCTGCATGATTAAGAAAAGATTAGTGTGCCTCCTAGTGAGATTCCAGTTGTAACTTCAAAGTGTCAAATGCCAGGGAAATTAACCTCAAGATAAAACAATTTAAGTGGTCTGTGTATGTTAATTTAATGTTTCCAGAATGTCAGCATCTTTATTATCACTTAAATTATTAAGTGTAAGCTGGAATGGCTGTTTGTATAAACAGTACTTATATTGCATATAAGTATAATAAAAAACAAATGAAGCAGATAAACTTGCAAAACAGTTTTTTCATAAAACAATAACTTGACAATATATAAAGTAGAAAATCAATCTAAAAGTTTTAGGAACTAAATAACCTGTATATAATTTCACTTTTCCACAGTGTTATGTGGGGAGTCCATGCTGGAACACATCAGCTTGCATCAACACTGAGCCAGGTTACCAGTGTAGAGCCTGTCCCCATGGTTACACAGGAACTTATGAAGATGGTCTTGCTTGGAACAATACACGTAGGATATTTCAGCTGTATAATTACCACCATGATCCACTATATTATCAGACATGTTTTGACATAGATGAGTGTGCTGTCAATCATGGAGGATGTGATTCTAATTCTTATTGTCACAATACACCAGTAAGTATCCACTTATTGTCACAATACACTAGTAAGTATCCACTATCAGCCTTAATGTCACAATACACCAGTAAGTATCCACTTATTGTCACAATACACTAGTAAGTATCCACTATCAGCCTTAATGTCACAATACACCAGTAACTATCCACTTATTGTCACAATACACTTGTAAGTATCCACTATCAGTCTTATTGTCACAATACACCAGTAAGTATCCACTATCAGTCTTATTGTCACAATACACCAGTAAGTGTCAACTATCAGTCTTATTGTCACAATACACCAGTTAGTGTCCACTATCAGTCTTATTGTCACAATACACCAGTTAGTGCCCACTATCAGTCTTATTGTCACAATACACCAGTAAGTGTCAACTATCAGTCTTATTGTCACAATACACCAGTTAGTGTCTACTATCAGTCTTATTGTCACAATACACCAAATTAGTGCCCACTATCAGTCTTATTGTCACAATACATCAGTTAGTGTCCACTATCAGTTTTATTGTCACAATACACCAGTTGGTGTCCACTATCAGTCTTATTGTCACAATACACCAGTAAGTGTCCACTATCAGTTTTATTGTCACAATACACCAGTAAGTGTCCACTATCAGTCTTATTGTCACAATACACCAGTAAGGGATCATAGATTTATTCTCACGAGGAAGCTCGGAGCATGCTCGGAGGATGCTCGGAGCTTTTTAAGTAGGCTCTTCTCAGCAGTTTATGTGACAATAATTATCATGATCCATTAAGATGTCAATCAAATCTATATCACTTTTATAATAAGGAAAGAAGAGCATTATAGAGGAAGCTCCATTAACACCTGTGTAAACATCTGGTCTGTTCAAACAAATCTTGCATTAATTTTGCAAAACTATAAAATAGATGAGAAATTCATCAATATTACTGTACAATGCTTGGTATCAAGTCTTCACAGATTGAAAATGATTTTAAAACATTTTCTTAATAATTATCATTCTTTTTTAATACACATGATACAAAAAAACACTCAAATTTTATATTTGAATATAAATATATTTTAAATTTATACTATATAAAATGAAATATAAAAGTCATCAAAGACACAAACTATGGTTATTGATTTATAACCATACTACCAAAACATAGTACATTCAGTTTCATGCGAAAAAGGGTTGATCTTTTTTTATATTCTATAATTTGACAGTTGTTTGAAATTAACCCTGCATTTCATTACAGAAAAGTTTTTTTGAGTCGTAAACATGTTTCTTGGGTGTTTCAAAGCAATAAAAATATACTATATTCTACAGGGAAAAAAGGGGGAGAGAATTTGATTGGTTAACTTCTGGTGATGTTTACTTTCTTATATGCACTGAAAAGCTATGCTATATTTTCACTGTAGTACAGGACATTTATTTATGTATTTCTTAATTTAAAACATAGATAAATTCTGCACATTTTTTTTGGAAACATAACAATCATGACAATTAAACAAAAGACTTATAGGGGAAAATAATTTTACTCATGCCAAGTATTTCTTTATTTAAAACAAAGCTAAATCTGCACAATTAAAAATAAAAAAAATGCCAAGTAAAGAGAGACGTACTAGAGGGAAAACAATGGTGGTATCACCCCCTCAAACCAGGCTTCCACTAGTGAATTACAACTTTTCTTAAAGTAGCCATAATTTTCTATAAAAGAACTTAGTTTGTTATTTAAAAAAAACATATTACCATTGTTTAGTTAGGGGCATTACTTAAACAAGTAATTTTCAAAATTACCTATACAAGTTATGTTGAAAACGAGACTGTTTCAAATATTACTTCTATATCATGAATAAGTAACTTCTGTTAATATTATTTTTATAGGTGTCCATTCATACATGTTTTACTAGCTTTAACAAATTTTCACAGACATCTGGTTATTTTCCCCATGAAATATACTGGTAAAACTATTTAAATCCTCAACAAGCACTAATTGCTTTTCTGATGCCACACTTCTTGGTCAAAGATTGGCCTCTTGGGGCTATTAAAATATCATTTCCCCTTAAAATCTTAGAGATAGACAGTTATAACTAGATATGGAACCTTTAATTAAGACTTGAAGTTATTTATAATTTGAATCTTAATCAAAAGCAATTACATATATTCCTTAAATAATTGTAAGTACTAAGTTTTTTGAAGTTGTATAAAATGATTTATTAAAGTAAAATTTTTGTCATTATTTTTTAAAGTAACCTCTCTATACTCATCTAAAATTGGATAAATACTTAATTTTATTTAATGAAATGATATAAAAATTCTTAAAAACTACATTTAGTCCATGCTTTATTTGACATTTAAAATAACTATTGAGTTATTAAATAATTTTTAAAAACAAAAAATACTTATAAAAGTGACTAAACAAAATTACTTGTTTAGTATCGCCACCTGACTGTTGTTTGTGTCTTGATAACTTTTATATAGCATATTATATAACATAAACTATTTTTAAATCATATCATCTAATTATAAAATTTGAGAATTTTTTTATTTAAAAAAAAGGAATGATTATTACATATAATAAGAAAACATTTAAATGACTTTTACTTTTTGTAGAGACTTGAGATTTCTTTCCATGCATTACACAGCACTGTAGAAGAATTTCTAATCTATTTTATAGTTTTGTAAAATTTAATGCAAAATGTTTTTGAATAGACCAGATGTTTACACAGGTGTTTATGGAGCTTCCTCTATAATGCTCTACTTTCCTTATCATAGAAGTGGTGTAGATTTGATTGACATCTTAATGGATCATGATAATTATTGTCACATTAACTGCTGAGAAGAGCCTACTAAAAAAGCTCCGAGCATCCTCCGAGCATGCTCGGAGCTTGCTCGTAAGAATAAATCTATGATCCCTAAGTGTCCACTATCAGTCTTATTGTCACAATACACTAGTGTGTGTCCACTATCAGTCTTATTGTCACAATACACCAGTGAGTATCCATTATCAGTCTTATTGTCACAATACACCAGTAAGTGTCCACTATCAGTCTTATTGTCACAATACACCAGTAAAAGAGGGACGAAAGATACCAGAGGGACAGTCAAACTGATAGATCGAAAACAAACTGACAACACCATGGCCAAAAATAAAAAGACAAACAGACAAATAATAGTACACATGACACAACATAGAAAACCAAAGACTAAGCAACACGAACCCCACCAAAAACTGGGGGTGATCTCAGGTGCTCCGGAAGGGTAAGCAGATCCTGCTCCACATGTTGCACCCATCATGTTGCTTATGTTATTACAAATCTGGTAAATAGTCTAATTCGGTAAGTCACATTCGTGAAAAGGGAGGGTATTGTAGTTATGACATAAGGAACATATCCGATATCATCTGTGAAACGGTTATTCCATAATGGTCAACCAACTAAGTGTCCACTATCAGTTTTATTGTCACAATACACCAGTAAGTGTCCACTCTCAGTCTTATTATTACAATACACCAGTAAGTATCTACTATCAGTCTTATTGTCACAATACACCAGTAAGTATCCACTATCAGTCTTATTGTCACAATACACCAGTAAGTGTCCACTATCAGTCTTATTGTCACAATACACCAGTAAGTATCAACTATCAGTCTTATTGTCACAATACACCAATAAGTGTCCACTATCAGTCTTATTGTCACAATACACCAGTAAGTGTCCACTATCAGTCTTATTGTCACAATACACCAGTAAGTATCCACTATCAGTCATATTGTCACAATACACCAGTAAGTGTCCACTATCAGTCTTATTGTCACAATACACCAGTAAGTGTCCACTATCAGTCTTATTGTCACAATACACCAGAAAGTGTCCACTATCAGTCTTATTGTAACAATACACCAGTAAGTATCCACTTATTGTCACAATACACCAGTAAGTATCCACTTATTGTCACAATACACTAGTAAGTATCCACTATCAGTCTTAATGTCACAATACACCAGTAAGTATCCACTTATTGTCACAGTACATTAGTAAGTATCCACTACCAGTCTTAATGTCACAATACACCAGTAAGTATCCACTATCAGTCATATTGTCACAATACACCAGTAAGTATCCACTATCAGTCTTATTGTCACATTACACCAATAAGTGTCCACTATCAGTCTTATTGTCACAATACACCAATAAGTGTCCACTATCAGTCTTATTGTCACAATACACCAGTAAGTGTCCACTATCAGTCTTATTGTCACAATACACCAGTAAGTGTCCACTATCAGTCTTATTGTCACAATACACCAGTAAGTATCCACTATCAGTCATATTGTCACAATACACCAGTAAGTGTCCACTATCAGTCTAAATGTCACAATACATCAGTAAGTGGCCACTATCAGTCTTATTGTCACAATACACCAGAAAGTGTCCACTATCAGTCTTATTGTAACAATACACCAGTAAGTATCCACTTATTGTCACAATACACCAGTAAGTATCCACTTATTGTCACAATAGACTAGTAAGTATCCACTATCATTCTTAATGTCACAATACACCAGTAAGTATCTACTTATTGTCACAGTACACTAGTAAGTATCCACTACCAGTCTTAATGTCACAATACACCAGTAAGTATCCACTTATTGTCACAATACACCAGTAAGTATCCACTATCAGTCTTATTGTCACAATACACCAATAAGTGTCCACTATCAGTCTTATTGTCACAATACACCAGTAAGTGTCCACTATCAGTCTTATTGTCACAATACACCAGTGAGTATCCATTATCAGTCTTATTGTCACAATACACCAGTAAGTGTCCACTATCAGTCTTGTTGTCACAATACACCAGTAAGTGTCCAGTATCAGTCTTATTGTCACAATACACCAGTAAGTATCCACTATCAGTCGTATTGTCACAATACACCAGTAAGTATCCACTATCAGTCTTATTGTCACAATACACCAGTAAGTGTCCACTATCAGTCTTATTGTCACAATACACCAGTAAGTGTCCA